TAATTTTTAAAGTATTCCTTAAAAATTTTAATGACCTCACATTTAATTTTTTTTTTAAATTTTACACTCACTTTTGTATGATCTCTTAATATGTTTTTATAATCAATCATCTAGATATAACTCAGAAACATGCATCTGTTGAAATTTTTTTGCCTACTTCTTGAAAAGCACCAAAGAATTTTCTACCACTTGCTTTATTATATTGTTACGTTATTCTATTGAGTTGCTTTGTTTTCACTTCAGTTTTGATTAATATTCTTCCCGTTAGATAGCTGGCCACCAATTTTGATTTATTTACTATCTCATGATTATTTAATTAATTTTGCAGAATACAGCACAAACTTAATTTTGAATATATATATATATATATATATAAAGATTAAATTAGAAACGTAAATTTCCCTTCTCAATTCTAAAAATAGTAACCTTTCTTTGCACTGTGTCATTTCCAGAAAATCTTATTCTAATGATGTAAATGGAACTGAAACCCAAAATTTAACCAATCACAGACTAGTTGTACTTTGTGGCACCTATCTTGTATAAATAGCTAATAACTGCATAGTTTCTCTCTCTTTCACCTCTTTGCGTGTTTGCTCACAGCTTGTTGCTGAGACTGCTAACTATTCGCCATTAATTAAAATGTAATTACGTATTTAAAATTACGGGCATGTTTAGCACCCCTAATCTTCTATAGATATGTATTAAGAAATAGGTCATTAAAGAATAAATGAGGTTTAACTATCCAGCTGGTCGTGCTTCTAAAAATTCATCCGATCATCTATTACGCAATAATGTCCAACCATCTACACAGCAGTTTTTCCAGCTGTGATTAAAAAAAAAACTTCAATCTTTTCAAAGTAAAACCTTACGTATGGCCCTGAATGCAGCCTGGTACGTCCGTACAGATGTGATTCATTCGGACCTAAATATTAAACCTGTAGATTATCATATTAAAAAGCTTAGTCAAAATTTATTCCTCAAAATTGAACAGATTGATAACTGAGCACTTCAGCAGATTCCAGCATACGATCCTGCTATTCGCAGCTCACAGAAGAGACCAAGAGCCGTGATTGGCCGAGAGTTCGGCATCTACCCTCCATCCAAAAGGGCAAGACACGCCCTCTCAACATCAGTTTCCAGCTCCCGCGCCATGAAGGAAGGACGTCTCTTCAGCGAGCTGCCATATAATTGCTTATTTCATCCTCTGCTACTACTATCAAGATCTTCAAGCAAAGTTATCAATCTGTTTACTTAAGAATCACATCTCCCGCAGATTTCAAATCTGCCTATGAATATTTTCATCGCGATCTCAATAATTATTTGCACTCCCCAACACAAGCCACATGCCAATGAGCCTATTAATCGTAAAATCTTTCCTATCCACTTTTTGCTTTAGTGTTTGTACTGTGTATAAAAAATTATAAAAAAACCAAAAAAATTATAAAATATAAAATACAAAAAAATTTTAAAAACCTAAAAACTTATAAAAAAATTATGAAACTTAAGTTTTTATTTTCTCATCTCTATCCCTAAACTTTCTCGAGCCTGTGGCTCCCTCTAGTGTGCATCAAGTAAATCACTTATGCCAAATTTTTCTTATTTATGCTCGCTTTTAGTAATTCTGATGTGGAGGTAGATGGTTTTGAACCATAGGAACTCCGAAATTTTTAAATCATTGGCATTGGCTGTGATTAAAAGTGAATTGTTTTCATCTTCCGCCAAAATTACAACTATTACATATGTATATATTAAATTGAGACCTCATGATTCAAAGCTTTTCAGATTTAAGGGCTGTCTACTAAGTATTTTAATACTTAATCTAATATTTTATTTAGCTTGAAACTGAAAATAATTTAACATGTATCTTGCACTATAATTAGCTAAAAAAAAAATCACATTGATATGGAGAAACAATATCATAAGTTGAATTTCCAATTGGCATAGTCCATTGAAATTAAAAAAGTAAATCATCACTAAAAACTTCATATTGTGCCATAAAAGGGTGCATTCTCCTGCTTTTGGTTGTTTACTGAATTACATTTAACCAACTCAATACAAATTTTGTTACAATCTTACATGGCAACATGATGATTTTATGACGTAATGCAGGAAATATATGAGAAGGGAAAAAAAAAACTGTGACTATGAATATGATTACAAAGAATGTGCTGTTCATTTCATGTGTTATGTAGTACATCTTTCTTGATATATCAAAATCACAGATTTGATACGTTATTGATACAATACGTAATCCAATGAATTTTCATCATGCATGTTTGTCCATTACCAACAGAGTTGAACCAATTTCTTTCACTAACTTTCTATTACACTATCTGACTTTTGATTTACTTCTGATCCCAAAACATCACTGATAAATTCTGACAGATCTCAATTTGAAGCAGTGTGGCGGCTGTGGGCTGAGGTTATTTGTGGCCCTAACTTGTTCTATGTTTTTGTGCTTTTGCATAGGCTTTGCTCGTGCTCAGATCTATGGGCCGAAACAGAAGCGTAGTACAGAACCTGAGGCTGGGACATGAGAGAGGAATTCTCTACCACCTGTACAAAAGAGCCCCTACGCAAGAGGTTCAAGAATTCAAATTCTCAACTTCTACCAGTGTTGAGTGGCTCCGCCAACATCGCATATCCTTGTCCAGCATCTGTATACTAACGATTAGGGATGACTTGTTGCCGTGTTTTGAGCCCACTGCGTTGATGTGATTGATTGCTGCACTGGTGGGCTGCTCCGTTCACTAGGAGTAGCTAGTTCGGTCCATTGAATACTTGTGGAGCAAGGTGCCATGGATGATGCAAGTGACATAGTTCTGCAGTTTTCCCCAGGTGTGCGGGAGGAGGAGGTGCATGCTCGTGTCAAGACAAAGGGGCACACTGATTTATAGCTTGAAGTTCTTCGACATTTAGGTGGTTAAGAAACTATTACAACCACTCAAGGTCATCAATTCGAGTCTTATTTATAAGCTCCAACAAAAGCCCTATGCATGCAACAAATATGCACAACTGCTTATTATCATCAAAGCAATGGCTTAATAGAGGAATTTTAGTGTCCTTTAAAATCTGCATTAATGTGTCATAAAACTCAAAAGTGGATGGAAATTTTACCAACTGTCCTGCTTGGGCGAACAGCTCTCAAAGAAAGTACCGGCTGCATTCCCGCTGAAATTGTGTGTGGAACAACAATTAAATTTCCGGGTGATTTTTTTCGACATATTGAATGCTACAATTTATCCTGTTGAATATATCAAACTTTGAAACTGCATGCAGCAGCTTAAACCAAAACCAACTAAATCACACACAACAAAAGCAGTGTTTATTCACAAAGATTTTAAAATGTGTTCGTATGTGCGCGACATCATGCAGTACGACAAAAACTACTATCACATTACTATGACCCTTTTAAAGTGCTCAAAGGTTTTTAAATCATCCATTTCACAAAAAAGAAACAGTTTCTGTCTCAACTACCGTGTGAAACTAGCACTTATATCTAATACAAACATGGATATATGTTTATCCTGATACTGTACAACCTGCATCTGTGAATCACTGCAAACCAAATATTCATCAAACTCATTACGAGCGGTGTGCATTTCGCTGATTTTTGCATATTATCACAATGATACTGGAGGAGGAGTATATGGCAGACCACTTAAAGATAGGAAATTTATGTGTGCAGCCCCCTCACAGATAAGTGTTCGAGCTGTTACAAGGTGTGAGGCGACCAGTCCTGACATTACAGAAACAGTAGTATTTCAAGAATCATAACTTCATGGCCAATATCAAGGGGTTTTAGCGATCTGAAATCTGTCTGTCATGGGAACTTCTCAATTTCAGGAAGGCTTATGGATTAATGATACATTTTCTCCTCTGATGTTGTTTCAACTATTATAAATCAGAGGAAGTAAAACTTGACCGAAAAATTAAGAGGACGTGACTAATTCAGTCTGCAAACTATTTCAGACAAGGCAAGAATTTAGAATGCTCCTACATTCACAACTAGAGAGACTCTTATAGCTTGCAAGATACTCATATATGAAGACAATAACTTTCTTATCTTACTTATGCATTCAATATTGTTAATTCATGTTACTGTATTAATAACAGAGTTTTTATTAATACAATAACAGAGTATAATAATAAATTTGCTTTTAGTTCTATATGGAGGGAGTAACACACAAGCTGAACAAATCACAAGTCAGTTACCATTCTTTATATGAAGTCATGCCATTACCACAGAGCATCGTTGTCACCCTAGTAAGCACGGAACAACACCGAGCCATACATCAGCTTCAGTCCACGGTCTGCCACACATGAAAGCAAATAACACTTCTCATTTCATATGTAGCAATGGACTTTCTATAGTTAAATTTATTTTAACCCACACAAAATGAATAAAAAATTTCTTCATGAAACTTCCTCAAAGTTACATATTATACAAAACAGCCAACCATGTACTTTTAAGTGATAGGACCTAAGCCATATGCCAAAGGAAATAGTTGCTTCCTGGAAAACCTATATGCTTTGTTAATCTAAATCACACTTACAAATAGGACTCCAAAACGTTTAAGCCATGAAAGAAAACATAAGCGATTATTCTCTATTTAAAAATTATTTAATAAATGCCATATTAAATGCTACAAGTACATAATGAAAATTGTTAATTTTTATTATTTTTTTTAATTAACACTTCTACCATGAATAGTCAAACGTATATAATTTATTTATTTTTGTTAATATCCAGAGCCTTTACTTTCACCAAGCCCCCAGTAACAAAATAAATTACACATATTTCACTGCTTAAAACAAAGCAAAAATCATGCATGTTTCAGAGAAGTATCTCGATATAAAAGATAAATGCAAACTGAAAGGGGGAATACATTACTAAATATGACATACAATACAAAAATTTTACTTAACTTTCAATATGAACAATAACTATGAATACAATGAAAAATTTTACTAATTCATTACTGTATCTAGTTACTTACTTGAGTTAAAATATATGACCTATCAGCTGATGGAACACTGACAAGGCTTGCATTGATATAATCTTTGTCACCTCTTTGTAAACGTACTCTGCTATGGTCAACTGCAATAAAAATAACTTTTTTTCATATTCCCACAGAAATTGGAATTTTTTCATATGAAATATGTCTACATCTTCAACTGCTTAACTCTACGAATAATGAGCAAGTTTTGTTATTTTTTCAGTTCTAATTTCAGTTAAAATTGTCTAAGTACTTCCAACTGTTTTAGTGGATTTATAATTTAAACTTACATTGCATTGAGGAGGACTTCAAAATTTTCAGATGAACTGCTATAATTAAATACATCACAATGGTTCTTCAACCAATTGTGGATACAGAAGCACAGTATTTTTCAAGTGGTATGGCATTGCAACTGAGTCTGATGTATCCTACTCTTGATAACTTTATAACAGATTTGATCGAGTTCATTTATATTTTTACTAGCTTTTTGTAATTTTTAGCTTTTAGTTTCACATTTTTACAATTCTTATTTTACATATTTATAGGTTTTTTTTTTTTTTTTTTTTTTTTTTTTTTTTTAAATTTATTGACACACTTCTTTTTCTTTTCACTTTCTTTCTTTTTTCTGAATTACACTTCTTTTGGGTCTTTGTGTAAAACTGGGTCTAAATTGTTTATTAATATTTGTCTATACTGATAAATTTTCAGCAGCATACTGCATGAAAATACTCAGAATAATTTTATTTTTAAAGAAAACATTTTGTGATATTACACATGTACACTGATGAAATAAATTAAGAAAATTTGCATATTTCATCGGATTGCATGAAAAGAACTGAACTTTAGGAAAACCCACTGCTTTTAGATAAAAATGCAAATTGTGTATGGCAATTTTGTAAGTGTACACGTGGTGTGTAGGCGAAGCTAGAAGAAAAACAGGCTTTATAAGCGTGTGGAGGGTAAGACGAACTGCGTTCGCTAGCACACCTCGGCAAATTTCTTGGTGTTATCTTGCAGCAATTGGTTAAATTCACATCGGAACAGTAAAAATGAGTAACCATCAACGTTTAGATGATGGAATGAAATGGCGAATTGTGGGGAGCTAGAGGCAGGCCAACTGCAAGACCAGATATGCAGAGAGTTTAATTTAACGCCCAGCACCTTGTGTAACCTATGGAAACAGTTCCAGGATACTGGATCCATCGAGAGAAAGCCTGGCAAGGTTGTCCAAGAGCCATGACGACCAGAGATGATCGCTATTTGTCCATTTTAGCGAGGTGTAACAGAGGGGCTACAGCTTCTCAGCTCTCTTGGGACCTGTATGCAGCCTCAGGAACCCATGTAACAAGGCTGATTTCCAAAAGACCGAATGAGAGAGGGTTGTTTGCCAGAAGACCGGCTGTTTGCATCCCACTCACATCTATAGACAGGAGAGTCAGATTAGCATGGTGCAGGCAGCATAGTGATTGGAGTATAGAGCAATGGACGACCGCTCTGTTCACCGACGAGTTCCGTTTTAGCCTAAACACCGATTATCACCAGGGACCTGCTACCTACCCTCCAATGTCTGCGAAATCAACAATTGTGGCAGTGTAATGGTCTGGGCAGGCATCGTGTTGGATGGCAGCACACCTTTCCATGTCTTTGACAGAGGCTCTGTGGCTTGTGTGAGGTATACGGATGAGGTCTTGGAGCCCTATGTTCGCCTTTTCCAGAGTGCAGTAGGCCTCCGAGTTCATCTTGCAGAATGATAACGCGAGGCCACATACAGCTCTTCTGGTTGACGAATTTCTCGAGAGTGAGGATATTCGCCAGATGGATTAGCCAGCCAGGTCTCCAGACCTCAACCCTATAGAGCATGTCTGGGACACTGGGGAGGGCAATTGCAACTCGCAACTCCCCTTCAAGAACCATCCAGGAACTGAAAACAGCGTTGCTGAATGAGTGGGACCAATTGCCACAGGCACTAATAAACTGCTTTATTTCCAGTATGACATCACGCTGCGAGGGCTGTATGGCTGTAAGAGGGGACCATACCCCCTATTAACCCGTTTCTTTTGTGTCTTCTGCAACTGCTGTTTCAGTCCTTCAGACTGCCATGAGTGTTACACACAAACATGTGTGTCTATTATACCTGTTGAATGTTTATTTTGTTTGTATTATATCAACCTATGTTCACACCAAATTTTATTAAAATCTGTCCAGTAGTTCTGGAGATTGTAGATAAAATATGAAAATTCTCTTTATTTCTTACATCAATGTATATGTAGTAAAGCAGACACTCTTTGTAATGATGTAGAAATATTGATGGCATAGACCAAAAGACGGCAACCTGCTACTCGCGAGCCACATGCGGCCCTTTGGATGTGAAGCTGCGGCTCTTTAGTTCCATACTCAATTATTATCTATTTTATCAAAAAACAGAGAAACAGAGAAAAAAAAAGCAGAGATATTTTTTAGAAGAAGAGAAAAACAATATGAAGAGCATCGAGAATTCAACTGGGATTGGACGCAGTCGTTCGCTTTCATATACAATTTCATATGCCTTGAGACTTGTCTCATTGGCCTTGAAAAACTCGCACACAATAAGAAATCATATTTAGAGAGACACTTCAGTAAAAAACATACTCAGTTTGCTAGAAAATATCCAGCCGGTGAAGAACGAAAGAAAGCTGTCGAAAGCTCCAAAAACAAAAACAGCAATCAAATTCGATGTTAAGTAACTGGATGCAATCTACAAGTAATGTTAATCTGGCAAGCTTCGCGGTATCATTAGAAATTGCAAAAAAAGGCAAACCATTCACAGATGGTGAGTATGTCAAAGATTGCTTCATACGTGCAGTTGAAGAACTGTTTTGCAATTTCAAAAACAAACCAGAAATCTTGAAAAAAATCAAAGATTTGCCACTGTCTGCTAAAACAAAATAGAAAAGCTAAATTGTCTTCAAATGTAACATATTTGCAGGTGGAAGATATTCAGCTTTCTTCTGCTTTATCATTTGCTATAGATGAGACTTGCGACATAAAAGACACGGCTTAAGTTGCCCTTTTTGTCAGGTACGTGTCTTCCCGAGATCCAAAAGAAGAACTTAAAGGATTGATACCGCTCTCGGGACAAAATAGAGGAGAAGACATAGCGAATGCCGTGCAAAAATGCCTTGAAATCAATAAGATCGATTTAAATAAAATGGTTTCAATAGCAACTGATGGAGCCAGAAGTATGACAGGAAAAAATACGTTTCACTGCACCAAGAAGCGCTTTGTGCCCCAACATTTCCGGTCGAAATAGTTGAGGTTATGAATTTGGTAATCAAGATTGTTATCAGCATTTTGTCAAAAGCACTGTGCCATCATCAGTTTAAAGAATTCTTAAACAAAATGGAGACTCAGTATTCCGACCTCCTTCTTCACAATAAAGTGCAATGGCTTTCCAAATGAAAGGTGTTGAAACTTTCTGCTTTGTGCTTGAATGAAATAAATACATTCCTAAATGAAAAAGGCATTAATCACCTTGAATTAGAGCGACAAACGGTTGCAAAAATTTTACTTTATGGTGGATGTCACAGTGAAATTATATGAGCTGAATCTAAAACTGCAAGGAAAGAGAAATCCAGCCTATGTTTTAGAAGAAGAAGTGGTTTGTTTTGAAGAAAAATTAATTCTTTTTGCAGAAGATATTCAGAGCGATAAATTACTTCATTTTCAATTTCTAAAGCAATATCGCGATAAAACCATTGCAACTGTTGACACGAATTACTTCAGCACAGTTACAAAAAAATTAAAGATGATTTGAGTAATTCAAAACCAACAAAACCACTCTAGCATTCATAGTAAACCCTCTCAACACAAATAGTAATGCAAAACACTGAGCCATTTGGAATTGATACTGAATCGCTAGAAATGCAATTGATCGATTTAAAAAGTAAAGCTTTGTGGAGTGGAAAATTTACAGAGTTGAAAAGCAAGTTGGAAGAGTTGGAGGTCCAGAAATGAATGTACGTAATGCAACAAAAGTGGACAGCTATAAAAGAAATGCTGCGAGTTGAGGCACTTATATTCGATTCATGGAATAGTCTTCAGATTGCTACAGTGAGGTGAAGAAGTTGGCATTTGGAGTGCTGACTATCTTCGGATCGACATATTCTAGCGAGCAAGCGTTCTCTTGCATGAATATGATTAAAAGTACAGTAAGAAGCCAACTAACAAATAAAAATGTAGAGTCGTGTTTGAAACTTAAAACAACCAGTTATGAGCCAAATTTGTCCAAACCTTCTAAAACCATGCAAAGCCAACGCTCCCATTGAATTTGTTTGCTCAATTGTTTTTTTTATTGAAGTACAAGTTAATGTTGTAAGTAAATGTTTAATTGTTTTAATTTCTTACTTAAATAATAAGTAATTATCTAATAATGCCATATATATATATATGTTATGTATTATCTAATTTGTTGTGAAAAACACTATTTATATATGAATAGATAGATATTTTTCTTATGAATAAATAGATATTTTTTCCTTATGAATAAACAGATTACCTTTTGTTTATCGAAAAACATTATTTATGTGAGTACTATTTATTGTTGCCATGAAAAAATTTGCTGGCTCTTTAAACACTTTGAAATTTTGTAAATTGTAATTTTTGACTCTTCCGACTCAAAAGGTTGCCGACCCCTGGCATAGACTGTTGATCCATACTGAAAAACAAACTTGGTAGCCAAGGAAGATTAATTTCAAATGATATTTTCTGCCACGGAAGCCAAGGAAGATTAATTTCAAATGATATTTTCTTAATTTCAAATGATGGTTGATCTTTACATTATGGTAACTTGGCGATTTTTTGGCGAAAATTTGGCGACCAACTCTCCTACAGCAACCCTCTATTTTTTTTTCCCGCCGCCATTTTGTCTTCACGAAGAAAAGACATGTTTCTTTTCTTTTTATCTACTGAACACTTCTTCCAACAATCTACTAGCCGAATTACACTTATGCTAGAAATTTTATCTAACAAAACTGCTTAATCATAACAAATATTCACTGCAAAATTGGGAAAAGTGCACAATATCACACTCCTTACGTGTTTTTCAAAATAACACATACACATA